CAAGGTCGAGAAGGGAGAGTGTTGACATGTCATGGGGTTGTTAACCAATGTCATAAAACAATATGTGTACTGACTGTTTAATGAGAAACTATTTGTGCTGTAAACCTTCATCTAAAGTACAAAAAAAGTTTTTTTTAAAAAGCATGTGTATATATTTTCCACCACACGTCTGTCAGTTTGTTGTGTTGGTTTGCGTGTTGGTATGATGCTGGAAGCTATGCCATTGGTATTCCAAATGCCAGCAGGGTCACCTGTGGTGGACAGGTTTCAGCAGAGCTTCCAGGCTAAGACAGGCTAGGAAGAACCTGGCAGTCTACTTCTGAAAAATTGGCCAATGAAAACCTGATGAATAGCAGCAGAACATTGTCTGATATAGTGCGGAAGATGAGCCCCTCAGGTTTGAAGGCACTCAAAATACGACTGGGGAAGAGCTGCCTCCTCAAAGTAGAGTCAACCTTAATGAAGTGGATGGAGTCAAGCTTTCTGGACCTTCATTTGCTGATGTGACACGGCTCAAAATGAGAAGAAACAGCTGCAAACATCCGTTAATAACCGGAACATGGAATGTATGAATTACCAATCTAGGAAAATTGGAAGTCATCAAAAATGAAATGGAATGCATAAAGATTGATATCCTAGGCATTAGTGAGCTGAAGTGGACTGGCATTGGCCATGTTGAATCAGACAATCATATGGTCTACGATGTTGGGAATGACAAATTGAAGAGGAATGGTCAAAAAGAGTATTTCAAGATCTATCCTGAAGTACAGTGCTGTCAGTGATAATACCCATATGTCTACAAGAAAGACAAGTTAATGTGACTGTTATTCAAATTTATGCTCCACTAATGACAAGGTTGAAGAAATTGGAGATTTTTACCAACTTCTGCAGCCTGAAACTGATCAAACACGCAAAAGTTGGAAACAGAGAGAACTACTAGTCTTCATGTTCTCTGAGATCAGGGGCTATATCTGAACTATTAATAAAATAATAAAATTTAGAGTTTACAGTGTAGTCTTAAAATTGTACTGTTACTGTTAGGTGCCCTCCAGTCTGTTCTGACTCATAGCAACCCTATGTACTACAGAACGAAACATTGCCCGATCCTGCACCATCCTCATAATCGTTGCTATGCTTGAGCCCATTGTTGGAGCCACCGTGTCATTCCATCTCAATGAGGGTCTCCCTCTCTTTTGCTGACCCTCTACTTTGCCTAGCATTTTTGCCTAGAGAAGGACATCGTGGTTAGTAAAATTGTATGCAGTAACCAAAATAGCCACATGGTGTCACTAAAGTTTTAGTCCTTTGGGTGATGTAGGGTGAGTAATTTGATAACGAAATTATGGTCCTAATATTTTCTGATTTGTATTCTGAGTATTTTTAAAAAATTATATGCTTGAATACATATGGAGCCCTGGTATTGCAGTGGTTAAGTGAGGGTTACAGCTGCTAACCGAAAAGGTCAGCAGTTCGAATCCACCAGCTGGTCCTTGGAAACCCTACGGGGCAGTTCTACTCTGTCCTATAGGGTTGCTATGAGTTGGCATCGACTCAAGGGCAATAAGTTTTGAATACATATATTCACGCATATATATACTAGCATCTGTATATATAATCACTCACACATATATATTGATTTTATATATTACTCTTTCAAGCAAAGAGAATCTGTTTATACTAGTGTATATGTGGGGAGGCAAAGGGTTTTATAGACATTCTATCAGACTTTAAAGTTTCAGAAGGCATACGTGTTTATGAGATACTTTTGACATATTAAATTTTTAGTAATAATGAATTATTTTGTATATCTTTGTCTCCCAAACTAGAGTATAACTTTGAGACAGTAGGGATAATTACCTTCTTTTGTATCCCTCCCCTCCCCAGTCCCTGGGTATTGCAGACGATTAGGAGTTGGACTTCTAACCCAAAGGCTGGTGGTTCAAACCTACCCAGAGGCACTTTGGAAGACAGGCCTGGCGATCTGCTTCCAAGAGGTTACAGCCTTGAAAACCCTATGGGGCAGTTCTACTCTGAACACATGGGGAATTGATTCCATGGCAAATAACAACAATAACCTCCCCAGCAGAGCCCTGTGTATGTAATAGGCACTCACTGGAATGAATGAATAATTAATATTCTTTTGACATTCTGAATATTTTTTCTTATTCAGGTCTTTTTTTCTAAAATTATATTTTAATTACCGTCTATTGAAAACAACAATAATTTAGGTGCAAGTATATAATAACAATAGTTTTTTTTCTCTTAAAGCTACACATGGCAGTACTTACAGTAAGTATGCATTTAAAGACCCAAGCCTCTGTTTCTATTTCATTGTCTTTTGGGAAGTGAACCATCAAAAAAGCACTCTTCCTTCTCCTCCCTGCCTTTCTTTATCTGTCCTGTGACATTTTGGAATAAAAAAATAGGATCTATCAGAAATTTTAATAAAAGATCAAAAACTATATATTTCTTTGGTATATGACAATACATGGGAAAATACATTGGCTATACTATTTGCTTCATCTATTGGCTCTCAGGGTTTCATTTATTTAGTTACTTTATAAATGCAAAGTGTTTTGTTTTTGAAGTTTTGTGGACCTACCTTTGGGTATAATAGATGGTATATGTAAAGAATAGAAAGAAAATGAGAAGATACCATTGAAAATCTGAAATATTTATTTTAAAATTTTTATATCATATCAAATTATTTATAATTTATTTGTATCTCAATCATAATTGTGATAAACACCTGGTTATCATTTCCCTTATATTCCGTTTTCACAGCAATACTATATTCTCTGTGTTCACAAAATAAGAGTTTCTCCTATCTTTAGCTTGAAAAAAATATATAAATATATATAAATTTCAGCACTCAATAGTGCATAAATGTAAAATGTATTCTGTGAAAAGTAATATAGTTATTTTCATAAACTAAATGCTGTTTATCTTTCCTTAAACAGCTTTACACAAATCCCAAGGAACCTGAGGTAAGAAGACACACAGAGGGGTGGGCAGTATATGTACAGTATATTTAAATACGTTTACCTGAGTTGAAGTTATAGATTGTGTTACTAGACTACTATGTGAGTGGAGTAACTCCGTGAGCACTTTCAATGTGTTTATGCGTGTGTGTGTTTATAAATGTGGCCATTCTTTTTTTTTTTTAATTGTTGTAGTTTAGGTGAAAGTTTACAATTCAAGTTAGTCTCTCATACAAAAATTTATACATACATTGTTATGTGACCCTAATTGCTCTGCCTATACTGTGACAGCACATTCCTCCTTTCCCCCCTGATTTCCTGTGTCCATTCAACCAGCTCCTAACCCTCTCTGCCTTCTCATCTAACCTCCGGACAGAAGCCGCCCATTTAGACTCATGTATCTACTTGAGCTAAGAAACACACTCTTCGCGAGTATCATTTTATGTCCCACAGTCCAGTCCAATCTTTGAAGAGTTGGCCTCGGGAATTGTTTTAGTTCTGGGTTGACAGAGAGTCTGGAGGCCATGCTTTCTGGGGTTCCTCCAGTCTCAGACCATTAAGTCTGGTCCTTTTACTAGAATTTGAGTTCTGCACCCCACCTTTCTCCTGCTCCATCAGGGACTCTGTATTGTGTTCCCTGTCAGGGCGGTCATTGGTGGTAGCCAGGCACCATCTAGTTCTTCTGGTCTCAGGATGATGCAGTCTCTTGTTTACATGGCCTTTTCTGTCTCTTGGGTTAATACTTTCCTTGTGGCTTTGATGTTCTTCATTCTCCTTTACTCCAGGTGGTTGGGACCAATTGATGCATCTTAGATGGCCCTTGCTAGCTTTTAAGACCCCAGACACAGATGTGGCCCATTCTTGATTAGGACATTTTTCAAAAACTTCCTAGGCGTTTTGGAAAAAAAGCATTGAGTAGAACTTAGCCTATTTCCTATCATAGTGACATTAAGAATCTCTGCTTGTATAAAAATCACATTTTATTATTTAGTATTTATTTTAATTGATTCTTAATCCTTCCTGTTTGTGGTCTTTTGGAAGAATAAATGAGATATGGCATAATTCTAAACTTTTTTTTTCTTTTTGCCAACTAAATTCTCCCCTTTTTAACTTGCTCATAGCTTTTCATAGCTTTACCTCTTTATTTCTCTCTCTAGATTTCTTCCCTCTGCTTGTTGAATCCTACTCATCCTCAAGGCCAACTTATGTTCAAATCCTCTGTGAAATCCTCCTTGGCTATTCTGTCCATACTAATTTCTTCCTGCTCTAAATTTCTTTTCCAGCGGGACCCCACAATTTAACACTCTGAATTGATTCATCTTTATCTCCCAGCATATTTTTGGGCATTGTACAAAAATTGTGGTGCGCCAGTACTTGAAGCTCTGTTCTAATTCTTCCATCTCATGAAAGAGATGAACCAACAAAGGTAACTAAAATAATGAAGAGGGATAGTGTAGCTTTTCTATAGGTACACACTAAAAAAATACTAGGACTTATCAGTCTGGAGGTGTTAATGAGATGTGTAAGCCAAAAAGTGAATATGTTAAAGAAAGGGTTAGGCAACTTAATGAATAATAGACCCATAAATAATTACTATATATGAATGTTTCGAGGATACAAACTTTACTCTCTTCCCACCTGTTCCTTTGTACTGGAGGTGGTTAATGCCTACTTTTGATAGATTTCTTCAGGAACTGAATGATAGGTGGTCCCTGTTTCTAGCCACAATATGATTTTAGAGACTTTGTTTTAAAATAAATTGTTGTAGGATGAACTCCTAATTCAGTGTGAATTCTATCTTGGCTGAATATTTATTCATTCAGCAAATATTAATTAGATTCCTTTCATGTGCCTGGCACTGTTCAAGGTATAAAAACACAAGCGTGAATGGGATAGACAAGGTCCCTGCTCTCTTGAAATTTATATTCTTGTGAGGGGGGATGAATGATAAGCAAGTAAAAATTAGCAAGACAATTTCATATGTCATAATGTTATGAAGAAAATAAAAGAAGGTGGTATGAAGGTGGTATGCTAGAGAGTGCCAAGGTGGGAAGTGGAATAGGAGGGATTGGATGACGCTGTCAGGTTGGGCAGTCCATGGGAGCCCTCCCCGAGAGGCTCCTGTTTGAGCTGAGACTGAATGACCAGAAGGAGTCAGTGCTATGCAGGTCTGCGAGGGGCACAGTCATGTGAATGACAAAATAACACAGTGGTTGACGCTGCAGGGTCTGGAGTCAAATCCAAGCTCTACCATTTACTAGCTTCGTCTATAAAATGAGGATTATAATACCTACCTCAGTGTTGACTACATATGAATTAATAGATGTACAGCATTTAGAGCAGTGCAGTGCCTACCTAACAACTTGTGAGCTTTTATCTTTATTTATCACCAACTGGAGACAGCATGTTTCAGACAAAGCACAGCTGTGCAAAGGCCCTAAGGCAGGAAGGAATCTAGCATGTTCTTTGACAGGTAGGGTGCCATGAGGAAACTTAGTAAGTGAGAGGGAAAGTGGCAGGAGATCAGGTTAGAGAGGTAGGCAGCGGATGGACAGATGAGTAGGGCCTTGTGGGCCAAGGCAACATTTGGATTTTAGTCTAGGGGTAATAGGAAGCCATTGGAGAGTTTTAAGCAAGGGAGTGACACTATCTGATTTGTATTTTCAAAAAGTCTTTTTGGCTATACTCACTGCTGTTGAGTCAATTCCAACTCATAGTGACCCTATAGGACAGAGTAGAACGTCCCCATAGAGTTTCCAAGGAGTTACTGGTGGATTCAAACTGCCAACCTTTTGATTAGCAGCTGAGGTCTTAACCACCGGGGCTCCTTTTGGCTATAGGACAGAGAATAACTTGTTGGAAGGGTAGTTCGGAAGCAAACAGATAAGATGGAAGATACTGTAGAAACCCGGGAGAAAGATGGTGGTGGCTTGCATAGAGTGATCGCAATGAAGATGAAGACAAGCAAGTAGATCTGGGATATGCTTTGGAGACCGACCTAGAGTCTCGCCAATGGATTGGAGTGTGGAGGGAGAAGGAAAGGCTATATATTTTGCTGTTGCTTTGGTCTTTGTGAATATATTTGGTATGATTCATAGCGACCATTGATGAGCATTTTAAAGGCTTATCTTTATTAGGCACACACAAATTTGAAAAGCGGGAGAACATCTTTTGAGATGTTAAGAAGAGACTAATGCCTACTGTAAATATACCTTTGTCGTGGTTTGAATTATGTCCCCCCAAAAATGTGTGTATCAATTTGGCTGGGCCATGACTCCCAGAATTGTGTGGTTGGCCTCCATTTTGTGATTGTAATTTTATGTTAAAGAGGATTAGGGTGGGATTGTAACACCACCTTTACCGAGGTCACATCCCTGATCCAATGTAAAGGGAGTTTCCCTGGGGTGTGGCCTGCACCACCTTTTATCTCTCAAGAGATAAAAGGAAAGGGAAGCAAGCAGAGAGTTGGGGACCTCTTACCACCAAGAAAGAAGCATCGGGAGCAGAGCGCGTCCTTTGGACCCAAGGTTCCTGCGCAGAGAAGCTCCTAGTCCAGGGGAAGACTGATGACAATGAGGACCTTCCTCCAGAGCCAACAGAGAGAGAAAGCCTTCCCCTGGAGCTGACGCCCTGAATTTGGACTTCTAGCCTACTAGACTGTGAGAAAATAAATTTCTCTTTGTGAAAGCCATCCACTTGTGGTATTTCTGTTAGAGCAGCACTAGATGACTAAGACAACCTTCCATGATCAATCAGAGTCAGAAGTAATTTGAGATTAGCCTCTTCAATTTAAACTATTACAAACATAACTCTTTTATTAGTTGCTTCAGGGACCAAATAATAAAATAATTTATCAACTATTCTTGACTCAATTTATCAACTGTTCTTGATTCAACTTAAAAGATAAAAGATAGCTTAAAGCATCAAAAAGCTAGAGTTGGTGGAGAAACACAGGCAGGTGGGAAGAACAGGCACTGTTTTCTTGACAGGCAACTATAGCCAGCATCTCTGGGAGAGGACAGTGTGTATCTAGCCTATATCTGGAGTGAGCCTGTTGCTGTAGGCACCTGCAGGTACCTCTAGTCTTACATACCTCTCCTACTGTACTCACAAAGTAGCCTTCTGAACTTGGTTTGATTTTCCAAGTAGACTGTCTTGCTAGAAAAAATATTTCCCTTCTAAAATTAATTCCATTAGAAGTCAGTCTTTATAGAGTATAAGCAGCATGAACCAATTTCCCCAGGACTTGATAACCTGTGATTAGGTTTATATTAAGGGTTAAGATCAGCAGATCTGGGAGACCAAATCTTGGGGTTGTTATTGTCGTTAGGTGCCATCGAGTCAGTTCTGACTCATAGTGATCCTATGTACAACAGAACGAAACACTGCCCAGTCCTGAGCCATCCTCACAATCGTTATGCTTGAGCCCATTTTTGCAGCAGCCACTGTGCGAATCCATCTCGTTGAGGGGTCTTCCTCTTTTTTGCTGACTGTCTACTTTACCAAGCATGATGTCCTTCTCCAGGGACTGGTCCCTCCTAGTAATATGTCCAAAGTATGTGAGACAAAGTCTCGCCATCCTTGCTTCTAAGGAGTATTCTGGCTGTACTTCTTCCAAGACAGACTTGTTCATTCTCCTGGCAGTCCATAGTATATTCAATATTCTTTGCCAGCACCATAATTCACCATAATTCTTCGGTCTTCCTTATTCATTGTCCAGCTTTCACAGGCATATGAGGTGATTGAAAAAACCATGGCTTGAGTCAGGCGCACCTTAGTCTTCAAGGTGACGTCTTTGCTTTTTAATACTTTAAAGAGGTCTTTTGCAGCAGATTTGCTCAATGCAATGCATCTTTTGATTTCTTGACTGCTGCTTCTATGGGTGTTGATTGTGGATCCAAGTAAAATGAAATCCTTGACAACTTCAATCTTTTTTCCATTTATCATGATGTTGCTTATTGGTTCAGTTGTGAGGATTTTTGTTTTCTTTATGTTGAGGTGTAATCCGTACTGAAGGCCGTCGTCTTTGATCTTCATCAGTAAGTGCTTCAAGTCCTCTTCACTTTCAGCAAGCAAGGTTGTGTCATCTGCATGACGCAGGTTGTGTTATCTGCATAACGCAGGTTGTTAAAGAGTCTTCCTCCAATCCTGATGCCTTGTTCTTTTTCATATAGTCCAGCTTCTCGGATTATTTGCTCAGCATACAGATTGAATAAATATGGTGAAAGGATAAAACCCTGATGCACACCTTTTCTGCCTTTAAACCACACAGTATCGCCTTGTTCTGTTCAAATACCTGCCTCTTGATCTATGTATAGGTTCATCATGAGCACAATTAAGTGTTCTCGGATTCCCATTCTTCACAGTGTTATCCATAATTTGCTATGATCCACACAGTCAAATGCCTTTGCATAGTCAGTAAAACACAGGTAAACATCTTTCTGGTATGCTCTGCTTTCAGCCAGGATGCATCTGACATCAGCAAAGTTATCCCTCATTCCCCGTCCTCTTCTGAATCTGGCTTGAATTTCTGGCTGATGTACTGCTGCAGCCACTTTTGAATGATCTTCAGCACAATTTTATTGTGTGTGATATTAATGATATTGTTGGATAATTTCCACATTTGGTTGGATCACCTTTCTTTGGAATATAGAGAAAAGTAATAGGAACACTCAGGTTTTTTCTGATCAGTGTAACATCCTCATTCTCATATTGTCAAGGACCAAATACTGAACCAGCTGAATACATGGCATTTTTTTGTGTGTTCTGACTTAGACTCATACCCTTTACCTGTCTTTAGTACCGTTTCCAGTTCTGTGGACACACTGTACAGCATATCTGGGCCAAATGTTTGCTTCAACTACCTGACAGTTATTTTATTTTTTAAAAAGCTATGGAGTATATCTCTCATGAGGAAATTTATCCCTCTTTATTTCTAGATTTCTTTATTAACGAGAGCAGATAGCAGTAGTATCTAGATTTTAGTATAGGATCAAAAAACAAGACCAGATGTCATAGATCCTGGTTCCTTTTCTAATTTTCAAATTTTCCTGTTGCTGTTCTAGTCTTCCCTTAATTATGACACCAGCCAATTAATTGCTTTCATGATTTTTCCCTTCTCCTTTGCACTCTTCTGTTTTTTTAAGTAGTCAGGGTGATCTTAAAAAAATGCAAATCACTCCCGTCTTCTATTAGTTTATTAGGGCCGCCATAACAAAATACCACAAATTGGAAGGCTTATAAAAAGAGAAATTTATTGTTTCATAGTTCTGGAGGCTAGTGTTCTGAATTCAAGGTATTGGCAGGGACATGTTCTCTCTGAAGGCTCTATGGGAAGATCCTTTCTTGTCTCTCTCAGCTTCTGGTAGCCCCAAGTGTTCCTTGGCTTGCAGCTGCAGTGTAACTCCTTCCTCACATGGCCTGCTTTCCTCCATCTGTCTCTCTGAGTCTCTTCATCTCTTTTGCAAGGATACCACTCAGATTAGACTAAGATCCACCTTACTCAAGAATGGCCTCTTGTTGACTGATAACATCTTTAAAGACACTATTTTCAAACTAGATTACTAGCCATCTTTCTTTTTTCTGTCTCTCCTCTGTCTGGCCATTTTCCCTCTGTCTTTCTGTGTCTCTTCATCTCTTTTACAAGGATACTACTCAGTTTAGCCCAGGATCCACCCTACTCGAAAATGGCCTCCTGTTAACATCTTGTAGACTTACTTTTAGATGAGGTACCAGGGGTTAGGATTTCAACATGTCTTTTTGGAGGACACAATTGAATCCATAACACATTCCTTCAAACGTGTCAGTGGCCGTCTGATTTACCAGAAATACTATCTAAATTGCTTACTGGGGCTAACATAGCCCCCCAGTGTCCTCTGCAACCTCATCTACTATACTGTCCTCCTTGCTCACTAATCTCCAACCACGTGGCCTCCTCTCTGATCCTATAACAGGCCAAGCCTGTGGGAACTTTTGCATTGCTGTTTCCACTGCCTGGGTTGCTCTCTCTATCCACCACCACCCCTCTCTCCACCTACATCTGGACATGACCACCTCTTGTCACCAAGGTTCAGCTCAAACATCACTTCTTCAGTCAAACCAAATCTGCACCACTCCTCTTCATGCATTCTCTGTCACAGCATCTACTTGATAGTGTTCATAGCACTTATCACTATCTGAAATTATTTTATTTACTTATTTATTGACTGTCTCCCTATCACACTGTATGTACCAAAAAAACACAGCTTTTCTTTCATATTCACCACTGTGACTCCAGTGCTTGGCACAAAGTAGGTGTTCAATAAATATTTGTTACATGAATGAATATTTTCTCCACTGATTCTACTGTTGTTTACCTACACTGGGTCAGATGCTTGACTCTGTGCACTAGTTTCTCCAGCTACAAAATGGTAATGGTAGTATTTGCCACCTAACTCATTTTTAGTATAGAGGAGAAAAATTATTTTTATATCTGGAAATATTATTCCTGAATAATGCAATGCTGTAAAACAACTAGTTATGTAGGAAGTGTAGTAGGTATACAGTGAAAATGTTCCTTACTTATCAGGTGAGATTCTGGGTTTATTTTTTAATTTCTTTCTCTGTTCCCTTTGATGTTCCTAGAAAGTGACTGAGATATACCAGTTCAAATTCAAATACACAAAAGAAGGAGCCACTATGGATTTTGACAGGTAGAATCTAATTGTTTAATGAACATGATAAATATATGGGGTTGAGGTAAACATAAGCTTCTTGAAACCAGAGATATGTCTTATACTTTTGTAACTTCCCCACCAACTCTACAAAAAAGCATTATTATAAAAAGGGGCTGTAATAATTTATTTTTTCTAAATTTCTGAAATCCACAGATAAAGCTAGTGGGAGTAGTGGATTCCTTCTTTCCGTCTTCTCTTCAGTGGTAGTATTTGTAGGATCTAAGACAAGTTTAGTGGTTAAGAGTTCCAAGTACCAAGGCAGAAAGATCTACTTTGAACCCTGGCTCTGATAATTACTGGCCATATAACTATGGATAGATAACTTAACCTCTCTATTAGTGTTATCTGTACTATGGAACTAATAGTATCTACCTCATAGAGTCACTGTGATTATTAAATTAAAATGCATGTGTAAAGCTTTGCCCATGCCTAGCACCTAATAAACACTCAATAAATGGTACCTAGTGGTAATGGTGATGATGGTGGTGGTCTTTGGAGGCACAGCAGTGGAAATTAGATTAAGAAGCTTTTCTACATGGTGCTGATTGAAGAACTTCGTAAGACTCTATCCACTAACCCAAAGTTTCTCAATTTCTGTATCAAGATCTTCTCAGCCCTCAATATAGCCAGATAGGGCCTGGGTTAGATAAAATCCCTGAATTATTTGCCAGCAGACACAAATGGTTTCATCTGCTTGTCCCAATGATACAAGTATCATTTTCTATGTGTATCTTTGTATGGAAAAGGCTAGAAAGTGCCGCATTTTCTGTCAAGTCTAAAATTCTAAGTTTTAGACATATAAATGGATTAAGTATCCGAGACCAAGGATATTTTCTTAGTAGGTCCCCAGTGCAGATGTTTTATTGAGAAGTAACATTTATTCCTCTCCTAGCAGCTTTTGGATGTGGTCATCAGATCAGCTGGAAGGATAGTGAGCTAAGGATAGCTGATGAGATGGAAGATAAGTGGAGGGGAAGGATGATGGTGACACACCGTGGGTGGTTACTCATTGCCATCAAGTCAATTCCGACTCATAGCGACCCTATAGGACAGAGTAGAACTGCCCCATAGTGTTTCCAAGGAGCGGCTGGTGGATTCGAACTGCTGACCTTTTGGTTAGCAGCCAAATGCTTAACCACTGCACCACCAGGGCTCCATTGCCCTGGGTGGTAGAGCACTTTAATTCTGGGGTATAGGAGCTACTGAGAGGAATGACTGAAGAGAAACGTGGCCTCAGTCTCAGTTTTCTCTACTATTAGCTCTGTCTCACCACTTACTGTGAGTTTGAGGATTTCTCTTCAAGATTTGTTTCCTTAAATTATCCTCTCATTTGTATAACTTACAGACAATACTAGGATTGTGAAGAGGAAGTAAGTTCTCAAAATGAGAATTAAAATGATATTAATCATCATTAGCTATCATCTGTATAGCAGTTTACAGATTATGTAGCACTTTTCAGATATATCATCTCACATAAAACAGCTGCCTTTTACTCTCTAAAACTCAAACATGAGTACTAATAACAAGACTACAGCCAGATTGATGTCTTTTGCTATGAAGGCACATATCCCAAGAGGTAAGCGCTAAAACAGAAATGGCCAAATCTTTCAGGTACTAAGGAGAAAAGGTAATACATATTACTAATTTTCTAGAAACAGAAAGACATTTGTTTAAATGATTGTTTACACAAAATTATCAACTCTTCCATAGTAAACATAATTTCCCTTTTAGAAGAATGCAAGGGAGTTCTGAATATGATTTTACTGATGTATACTGAAGGATCCCATGAGCTACATGACTATAGCTCTTCACTCTGGTTACCTATGTTCAAATTGGTTAAATCAGGGTCATAAAGCTTTAAGTTTGCTCAAAATTGAGAAAGGAGATAATATATTCACATAATAAATATTTGCTTTATGAGTTCACACTGCTTCCAAAGATCAGTTAGAGAAAAACCCAACAGTTCACTTACTTGGGATTATTTTTTCAGTATTGAGTGCTTATTATGTGCAAGACACTGCAAATATATTATCTTTCCTGAAATTACTCAAATGTGGAACTAATTGGAGAGAAATAAAACTTTTTAGAGTTGGAAGGTAATTTAATCTAATATGTTTATTCCTGAATTAATTAAACAAATGTTTATTGAGTACTTACTGTAGCTGGGCCCCAAACTAGGTATCGTGGCGATGAAAGATACAGCCACTCACAGTCTGGAGGGGAACAGACAAACAATTATCCTGAGGGGTAATGTGTGGAGCTTATTAGGGAAAATTTCCTTGAAGAGGTGAACATGAGCTAGGTATTAAAAGGATGAATTCAGGTGAGTCAGGAAGAGAAGTAGGAAAAGCACATTCCAAGCAAAGTGAGCAGCATATGCAAATGAACATGAGTGAGAGGAAACAGGTAGTAACTGCAGATGATGGTAGAGGTGAGGGCAGGGCTGGTCATGAAAGTGGTGTACACACACCACTCTCAAGCTTCACGAAAGTAATAGGATTTTAAGCAGGGAAGTGACGAGCAGATTTTCCTATCAGGAATAGTATTTGGGCAGTGGTACGGAGAACGTTTAGCAGTGTGGACAAGAAAGAAAGTAGCAAGAATAGTAAGATAGACATTGTGGTAATCCATGCAAGAAACGAGAAGGATATGCCTTGGAGAGATAACCAGATGGTAGAAAGGCCCAGAGCTGATGATTGATTTTATAGTTGGAGAGGTGTGGAAATGTTTGTAAGCTGTTCTCACAAATGGGCCAACTGACCTAGAGTGTGTAAATGACTTGACCAAGATAGTTCAGCTAATTAGCAGCAGAGCTGATATTAAATACCAAAAACAAACAAACAAACCAAACCTGTTGCTGTTGAGTCAATTCTGACTCATAGCAACCCTATAGGACAGAGTAGAACTGCCCCATAGAGTTTCAAAGGAGCGGCTAGTGGATTCGAACTGCTGACCTTTTTGTTGGCAGCCTGAGCTCTTAACCGCTGCTCCGTCAGAGCTTCATATTAGATAACAGGTCTCCTAGGTCCAAATCCGTTGTTCTCACTGTTATAGTATTTGGTTATTTGTAAATCAAATTTTTAAAAATCAGATCATATTTAAAATGCTTTAGGGGAACTGCTACTACTATATCTTTTGTATACATGTTGAAAAAAGTACAATTGCTCTACTAATTTACATTCTAAAAATAGTCTCAAAAATGTTCTGATGTTTAATTTATATTTATTTAATCATATAGTCAAAATTTTCTTGTTTGGAATATATTGTCAATATTGTATATGATTGAAAAATATGCTGTTTTTCTTTGTGGTTATAGCAGCAGTACAAGCTTTGAAAGTGGGACAAACAGTGAAGATATTAAGAAAACCAGTGTTCTACTGATCCGTAAATTGTATATACTTATGCAGAACCTTGGACCCCTTCCTAACGATGTTATACTTACTATGAAACTTCACTACTATAATGAGGGTAGGTGGAGACCCCTAGTCAAATTCTTAAGTGCTGAACTAATATTTTATATAAATGGGATTTTATAAGTATCTGAAAGAGATGTCTGTTGCTACAAATGAAAGATTAATATGAGTTGTTCCATTGAAACTCACATTCTTTTGTGGCTTTCCACCCTTTTCATTTTGCAGTGACCCCAAATGATTACCAGCCTCCTGGTTTTAAGGAAGGAGTGAACTCACACGTCCTGCTGTTTGAGGGAGAGCCCGTCAACCTGCAAGTGGGATTGGTCTCCACTGGCTTTCACAGCATGAAAGTAAAAGTCACGACTGAGGCCACCAGAGTGTCTGATTTGGAGAACAATCTCTATCAGGAGAACAGCACTACTGAGATCGCCCATCAAGGCCTAGACTATGATGATGAGGAGGAGGAATGCGACAATCACGTAAGGCAAAGCTTACTGATCTACTGTTGCTTCAGTTCAACATGATTGACATTTTTCAACTCCTACACAGATCATGTCATGGTAACAGGGTCCAGTGGAGTGTGCCAGGTATAAAAACTGAAAACTAGCCCCTGTCATCAAGGAGTTTTTAGTTTAAAAAAAGTACTATCTTAGTTATCTAGTGCTACTGTAACAGAAGTACCACAAGTGGATGGCGTTAACAAACAAATTTATTTTCTCACAGTTTAAGAGGCTAGATGTCCGAATTCAGAGTGCCGGCTCTAGGGAAGGCTTTCTGTCTCTGTTGGCTCTGGAGGAAGGTCTTTGTTTCCTTTCAGCATCTGGCCCAGTGTTCCTTGGAGATCTCCATGTGTCTTGGCATTGATCTTCCCCTGGGTCTAGGAGGTTCTTAGCGCAGGTACTCCACCTCCAAAGGATACCATTCCTGGCTCTTCTTTCTTGGTTGTATTGAGGTCCCTCTCCTCTCTGCTCGCTTCTGTCTCCTTTTATCTCTTGTAAGATAAAAGATGTAACTCTTGCAAGGGTGTGACTTGAGTAAGGGTGTGACTTAAGTAAGGGTGCAACTCAAAACACATCCTCTTGTCTGTTACTCAAGATACACCCCAGCCTGACTCTACCTCATTAACATATAGAAATTAGGATTTACAACAGATCACAAAATGGAGGGTAGTTAGATCACAAAATGGAGGACAACCACACAATACTGAGAATCATGGCCTAGCCAAGTTAACATATTTTTGCGGTACACAGTTCAATCCATGACATTCCACTCTTTGGCCCCCAAACAATTCATGTCCTTGCCATATGTAAAACACATTCATTCCATTATTCATCCCGAAAGTCTTAAATTGACTCAAAGTCTAAAATCTCATCTTGTGAATCATCTAAATCAAATATGAGTCAGACTTTAGGCATATTTCATTCTGGGGCAAAATTCCTTTTCATCTGTGAACCTGTGAAATCTAGATTACAAGTTATCTGGTTCCAAAGTACAATAATGGAATAAGCACAAGGTAGACATTTCCATTACAAATGGGATAAATTGGAGGGAAATAAGGGATAATGGGCTCCAAGCAAGTCCAAAACCCTAGAATAATTTACATTAGCTTTCAAAGCTTGAAAATAATCCTCTGTTCTCTGAGACCGTCTAGGCAATGGCCCTGCCCTCTAGACTCTGGGTGTTGGCCTTGCTCTCCGGATCTTGTGGAAGGTCCTCAGCCCTGGGCTTCAGCTCTATCTTCCAGGCCCACTGAGATGGAAACTCTGCTCCCTCAGCTTTGAGCAGCCCTCTTCTCCTAGTCCATCTGAGTGGTGACCCCACCCCCTCAGCCCTGGCAGGCCCTCTTCTTCTGCCCTGGGGTGTGGCAGCCCCATCCCCTCAGCTTTGGGCAGTGGCCTCATCCCCCTGGCACATCTTAATGGCAGCCCCACACTCTGGAACTAAGTTGGTGAAGATCTGACTCTTTGAAACCTAGGAGGCTGTGGCCCCACCCTTTGAGATCCAGGAAACTGTGGCCCCACCCATTGAAACTGAGAAGGCCCAACTTCCCGTGCTCCTTCCAACAGTTCTGCTGATCTCTGAGCTGCCCCAAGGATGGTCCTTTTCTTTTCTTGGAGGACAACAGATGTAGCTCCTTTGGCCTGTTTCCTGCCTGTAGAATTCCAAGAGGCAGACAGTTTTCTTTCCTTTCATCCTTTCTCTATCTCCTTCAGTCTAAGATGATGGCTTAATCTCTTTAACAAAAGTTTATGTAGCCATGTCCTTGGTGAAAATTCTAGGAACGTGTTGTTAGTTTGTGCAACAGAATTTTCCAAATCTTTATAAGTTTTGTTTTCATTTTGCACAGTTCATTTTTAAGTCCATCTCTGTCCTCTTACATTTTACTGTAAGTGGCAGGGAGAAACCACACAGCCCCTTTAAGATTTGCTTAGAAATCTTCTCGGCCAAGTATTAAAGTTCATCACTTACAAGTTTTACCTTCCACCAAACATTTGAACATAATTCTGACAAGTTCTTAGCCACTGCCTAAAAAGCATTCTTCTTCCATTGTCCAATCACACATTCATCGTTTTCTTTTAAAACCTCACCAGAAGCACATTTAACATCCACATTTTTAGCAACATTCTGTTGCTTGCACCATATGTATTCTTTAAGATGATAGAGACTTTCTCTATGGCTCTCTCACTTCCTTCTGAGCCCTCACCAGAGTTGCCTTTGATGTCCATAATTCCACCAACATAATTCTACATCTTTTCAAGGAAATTTAGGCTTTTACTATTAGGTACTTTAAAACTCTTGCAGCAACCCACTCTTCTGGTACCAAATTCTGTCTTAGTTATCTAGTGCTGCTATAACAGAAATACTACAAGTGTATGGCTTTAACAAACAAATTTATTTTCTTGCAGTTTAGGAGGCTAGAAGTCTGAATTCAGAACACCGGCTCTAGGGAAGGCTTTCTCTCTGTGTTGGCTCTGGAGGAAGGTCCTTGTCTCCTTTCAACGTCTGTGGACCTGGCATTCCTTGGAGATCTCCATGTGTCTTGGCATCAGTCTTCCTCTGGGTCTAGGAGGTTCTCGCCACAGGAACTCTGGGTCCAAAGGATGCGCTTCACTCAAGGCTCTTCTTTCTTGGTTGTAGTGAGGTCCTTCTTCTACTTCTTTCTGTCTCCTTTTATCTCTTGTAAGATAAAGGTTGTGACTCAAGCAATGGTGTGACTTGAGTAAGGGTGTGAGTTAAGTAAGGGTGTGACTTGAGTAAGGGTGTGACTCTTGGCTGTGACTCAGAATACACCCCACCCTGATCCTGCCTCATTAACGTACAGAGGTTAAGATTTACAACACATCACAAAATGGAGGATAATTACATCAGATCACAAAATGGAGGAAAACCACACAGTACTGGGAATCATGGTCTAGCCAAGTTGTCACTTATTTTTGGAAGACACAATTCAATCCATGACAAGTACTGTCTTCTAGAAGAAGATAAACTTTGTTAAATGAAATTATCTATGCTTAGGAGAGAAAAAAAGAAAAAGACCTTCCAATATACTTCTTTTGTTAAAGGTACCCATAAATTTAGAAAATTTGTGAATTTTCTTTCTTTCTTTCTTTTATAAATAATGCATTTTTTCCTTATTTTTATTGTGTGGTAAAATATACATAACAAAATTAACATTTTAACCATTTTTGAGTGTACAATTTGGTGATGTTAAGTACTTACACAATGTTGTGTAACCATCACTACTATCTATTTCCATGTCTTTTTTATCATCTCAAACAGAAACTCTATACCCATTAAACAATAACTTCCCATTACCTTCTCCCCCCAACCCCTGGAAACCTCTATTCTACTTTCTGTCTTAATTTGCCCATTTTAGGTACCTCATGCAAGTAGAATTATGCAATATTTGTTCTTTTGTGTCTAGCTTATTTCACTTAGCACAATATTTTCAAGGTTTATCCATATTGTAGCATGACTGCTTTTTGTTTTTTATCATGAAAGGGTATTAGATTTGCTCAAATGCTCTTTATGCGTCGATTGAGAGGATCATGTATTTTTCTTCCCTTTATTCTATTAATGTGGTGTAGTACATTGATTGATTTTCATATGTTGAACCATCCTTGCATTCCTGGAATAAACCCCACTTGGTCATGGTGTATAATCCTTTTAATATACTGCTGAATTTGGTTTGTTAGTATTTTGTTGAGGATTTTTGCATCTATATTCATAAAGGATATTGGCCTGTAGTTTTCTTTTCTTGTCATGTTTTTGCCTAGCTTTGGTATCATGGTAATAATGCTTGCCTCATAAAATAAGTCAGGAAGTGTTCCCTCCTCTTCTAATTTTTTTTTGAAGACTTTGAGAAATAGTAAAGGATTAATATTAAAGCATTAATTCCTCTTTAAATTCACCATCCAGCAGCTCTAGGAATGTGGCAGACATCCCCACCACCACGGCAGGGCAAAGGAATGGGGGATGGTAGCCAGTTAGTGCATGTGGCTCACCTAGGAGAGATTATCAGCCTGTCCTTTCATCAGCATCCAGTCAGGTTCCAGAGCTCCAAAATAGTTGATTCCAATTGCTTTTTCTAGTTCAATTGTTTTGGTGAAGGGACCTACCTCTAGAGCTCCTACTCTACCATGTTGCGTGTTACCACTTTCTTTGATCCATTTTGAGCTGATTTTTGCATTAGGTGTAAGGTAAGGGTCCAATTTCATTCTTTTGCATGTAGATACCCAGTTTTCCCAGTACTGTTTGTTGAGAAGACTCTCCTTTCCCCATTGAATAGCCTTAGAACCTTTGTCAAAAATCAACTAACCATATATGTGAGGGTTTATTTCTAGACTCTCTTTATTATATTCCATTGGCATATATGTCTACACTTATACTAGTACCATACTGTTTTGATTACTGTAGCTTTCTAATAAATTTAGAAATTGAGAAGTATGAGTCCTCCAATTTTGAAGTAATATTTTTAGTATTTAAAAAATACATTCTAGTTGTATATTTATACTCATCTGGAAATATAAATGAATTCTTGATTACTGAGGTAATTGAGTGGAGGGGATTGGGAGATAAAAATGTTACGGATTAACCAACCAGAGTGAAATAAAAATGATAGTCAACTCTTGGTTATGTGAGAGAAACTTTGAGGATAGGTCACTGGGGGAAAACTAGGGCGCTGACAGGGTTGGAGCCAGTGGAGCCAAACAGGCAGGACTTTGAGCCCTTTACTTTCCTACTTCCTTCAGTGGAGACATGGAATTGAGTACATGCTAGGGCCTCACTGTACCTGGTGTAAATGCAGACCCTTAACCAGCTGGTCTCTGGATAATAATGTTTACTGTATGCCAACATTATATTAAATGGGTTCTGAGTTAGACAAAAAGAATTTTTAGATTCTTCTGCTTAGTGGGGAGGGATGCTATAAAATCTCCTCAGGAGATATTTTAAGATTAGAACAATAACTTATTTGAGA